TTGCCTCTTTGAACTGAGTATTTAACATGGCTTTGAAAACTGGCGAGTGTAAACTTAATATCGGGCGATGAACATGGAATCTCTTGTCTTCCACTACAAGAACAAGGTCACTATCCTCCCAAGGCTCAGAAAAGGGATTTATCTCTTCCTCTTCGGCAACAAAAATTTGGGCATCTAGGAAAAAGAAAAAAAAACAAAGAATGCTCCTTAAAAAGTTTGATTCACTTAAAAGGAAAAAAGCACACACATCGTAGTGACATTCAGTTCCTTTATAGCTCTTTAGGGTCCAGGGCCTGAGTCAGCTGAGACTTCATACCTTCGCAAATTCTAAATAAACCTTTTTTATAGCTTGGGCGGTTTGTTTCTCCCATTTACAGATCACGTGTTATCCTCTAGAGAATTGTTCTTTTATGCAGCTAAAAATTGTTTATTCATATGCACGCAACCCTTTGAAAATTTGAAAGCTAGAATTCGTAAGAGTATCAAAAAGAATGGTTTGAAACGGGGCAACAAACCTCTCAAGCTAAAGCTAGCTAGCCAAGCTACAATCATAGACAAACGTCTTGGGACAAATTTACACTTATAGCGCTTTTGCGCAGAGGCCAAGACGCGCATACAACTTCACCTGCCAAACCTTGTCTCCTCCCAGCCACATACAATGTTGAAAACTAGTACCTGCAATTTCTCTTAATTTTCAGCATTGCACTGGGTGGGGAGGGGGAACAGTAACGCGTTTTAAAAAGGATAGCAGTGCTTTTTTCAAACTTCAGTTGTAAAACAAAGATAATTCATTACATTACTTAAAAGGCACCCTCTGTAAATATCAACTATGGTCATTTGGACGAGAAAAAATCAGATTCCTCAAACTTTTTTCAGATGAATGGTCTAGATAAGTGATTCACAAAAATAAAACTTTCAGTTCAGTTCGATTTGTATTTTAGCGCTGGGGCCACCATGTTGGTTTTGCCCCTCTGTGAGGGCTTTCAGCGGCCATTTTTGGGAACATTTTTAATAATCTGCCATACAAAGAAAACGATATAAATCCGGGTAAAAATCCTTTATTCGAGACAAGCAAATGTTTCTTGTTACGTTGAGAGGCTGTTTTGGCAATTTGATCATCATCTGATTTTTTTTACAGAATTTTAGATTTCTTCCCTTTCGGACTACTCTTGAAGCGCCATAAAAAAGGCAAAATTTAAAGGAAAATATCGCCAAAAGTACATCCCTTGAGATCGCAAAACTACCCTCCACTTAAAGAGCAATGTCTTACCTGTAAAAATATTCAATAAAATTTTGGGTTAGTTAAAACTGTAAAATGTTAGAAGAAGAAGTTTAAGCTGTGTTTTTGTCAACAAAGACCGCCGTCCTACTTAGCATAATAATGTGAAAATAACGATGCACGGAGAAAATAATGATATATTTCAGTTACCTCGCGGCATGTCGATAACTGGAGGTTCCACGATACCTCATGTTATATTATCAGCAGGTTTCAGCCACATTTTCGATGCTTAGCGTACGAAATCACCCTGAGACATCACAACGGTTAAGCAGATTTCAACTCTCCGAAGCCCGCTTCTTAACATTTACCAATATTATTTGTCTTTCGTCTCATAAGCCGCCTTTTACAAGAAGTTTAACAATTTGCTGAGGTTTTAACTGACCCAGAAGTCTGTTAGCAGCCTATAAAATCCTCTTTATAATGCATTGTATTAAAAAAAGAAAAAATCGAAAAAAAGGAAAAAACGATAGACAGTACCAGGCTCTTGATCAGGTCATTAAGGTGTTCCAGTTCATCAGTGAGGCCCTATTAGGGATTTTCAGGATACTGGATATCTGGGTAAAAAGTTAATAGGATACACGAAATTTAGGGGAAAAATTAAAGGGGTAGACTATGTTTAGATCAGATAAAGCGGGACACTTGTGTCTTTCTCTGCCGAAAATGCCATCAAATTTTGCGAAAGGCAACAGACTGACAAATGGTGTGCAGGAAGTAATGGTAAGCGGCGTCCGAAACTCCTTATATTTTCTTAGCGTTTCACTTTTGCATCAGAAAAGAAATGCTCCGAAAATTACAGAAGGGCAGTTAAGGACGGTGTCTTGTTTTTTGTGGGCACACGGTCTGTGCATCATGCAAGGCATGGTTTAAACGCCAGGCGCGCGCTTGGGTTAGAATTGACGTAATTAACTACCCTACCAAGCTCGCGACTTAAAAAAGAATCCTATTGTGGCCGAAACAAATTTGGCACTAAAATTACGAGCCTGTACTAAAACCAGGATTACCAGAAAAGCATATCCCTAAGCACTAACTTAGCACATCCCTAAGCACTAACTGTGAACGGCTTCCAGCTGAAAAACTAGCTTTTATCGTATCCATAAAAAAAAATCATAATGAAATCCAACTGAAGATGGCATAATGCACGCACAAAACAACTGCGAGAGACGTCAGTGTTTGAGTTACTTGGGAGGTAACAGGAAAAAATGTAACGGACACCGACAAGCCCGGTTTCGAAAGGATGAATCAACTCTTTTAACCTTCGAAAACGGGTGATTACAGCTACATTTTATGTTATGAAATGGAAGTAGCATGCCTATTCAACCGAAGTGATTAGTTTTTGGCTGTGAGGAAAAGCTATGTAGACTGTATTTTGGCCCAACCAGAGGAGAGCTGTCCAGGGACGCTAATATAAAAGCGCTGTTGCGACGATTTTGTTATTAAACACATACCAAAAGTTGTTTTTGTTTTACCATTTATCATGTAGTTTAAAGATGTTTATTAATGTGTTTAGTTTTCTGCATGTAAAGGCGAACTCTACGAAAATCTGTGAGGAAATATCTTTACCTTTTTTTTCAGAAAAATGCTACCGTCAGCAGTTTCCTTCGAGATTCAAGGCTAATTATCTCGGAAAAATTAATGACTACCCCCAGTTTTCTTTGTGGATTCCAATAACCCTGGCTAAGATCTACTTTTTCCACCTTTTTCCTTATTTGACGGAAACACATGTATTTAGTAGGCACCGTTCGTTATGAGCCTGAGCTGGAAGAGTAGAGTAGACAGGGTGAATGCCACGTATTTTGTCTTTGTCACATATATATAGGTTTTCTCTTTCAGGAAAACCTCAACATGAGCCGTTCTGCAAATTGTTCTTCAGTGATTTTCTGAGCATTTCCTTATCTGATGCAAAAATAGAACGGCTTAGAAAAAGGAGTTTCAATTAAACGTCGCTTACCATTACTTCTTGCGCAGTACTTGTCAGTCTGTTGCCTTTCGCAGCATTTGATGGCATTTCGGGCAGCGAAAGACACAAGTATAATGCTAAACAAAACAAAAAAAAGTAAGAGGCTTTTTATTGGAATTCTATCCGTATTCTATTTGTAGTAAATGAAAATTCTCGTCAAAAAC